CAAAAAGGAAGATTAAAATTCAGGCACCTTGAGGTGCCTGTTCTTTTACCAGGTCTGAGCCTCACTCAACAAGGTCATTAGATTGGTCCATCGGTCTGATGACCATAATGGATGAAACCCATCGCATCTGCTACACTTACCGGTTTCATGTGATAAGAATCCGCTATGAGCACACCAAGAACAACCTAATCCACCACACTGCCAACACCCTTCTTCCTGACCACCATCGCCACCGCATAGTTTGCTTCTCAAAACTTAAATAACCTTCTAGTTATCAGTATACTTACCAACAGTAACACTACTCTAAATATCGCTCGTCCCCAAGTCTTGTACTGAACAAGATCTGAGACCTTATCTGTCTTGCCTTCTGCCTGTTGACTCTTAAGATCTATGAGCTCTTTACGCATGATATCACGCTCACGCTCTACTCTAGCAACATTACCGCCCCAGTTCTTGTTACGGTAGAAATCAATACTCTTCTGAGAGTCCTCTATTTGCGTCTCTAGTAACTCTATTCTCTGGGAGATACTAGATATCTCCCCTATCCTTGTTGCGCCCTCAAACGTGACCTCTGACGTTATAACGAACAACATAAGGGCAAACACCGTGACACGCATTCCACCTACCGCTGCCATCTGCCACTTACCAATACTCCTGAATCCGTTTAAGAACACGAACGAGATCTCTGTGAGTATTGCCTTGGTGTATGCGTAGCCCGTGATCACTCCACCTATAGCATAGAATGTCACTGCTTCAGAGACCAAGAAACCTATTATCGCTATCAGAAACAGAAAGTAGAAGAACTTACGTGGGTTCTTGAACAGCTTTCGATACCACTTCTTTTCTTGGTCTTTCTTCTCATCATTGTTCTTCTTCCACTTCTCTAAAGCATCTTCGTTGAGTGTGGTATATATGTCTGTGGACTCATCCTGAAATATCATGCGAATAAGTCCATTTAACTCTTCAAGGAAAGTCTGCTGAGGATCCTCAGGCTTACCGTCGATCTCTGTCTTGTATCGCTTGCGGATACTCTCTATCGCACTCTTTACCTTGTCATCAGTCAAAGTCTATCCCTTCTAGTAATACTTTCTCAGCCGCATGCGTAGCAAATGCATCATTTAGTGAGGTGTTTGCTTTACCATTGACAAAGATCAAGTCTGTACTTGCTGAACTCTGTATCATCCACCTGTTGCCTTTGGTAAGCTTATCCAACTTACCTACCCGTGTCAGGTACGGCTTACCTGTGCTCCAATGTCTTTGGAAGCACTTGAACAACCACTTGTCCCAATCAATCAAGAACTCACCTTCCCCTGCTATTATGCCTTGGAAGTTTGGTTGGAAGTCTTTGAACATATCTATCCATTTACCTGTTATTAGCTTGCTTTCTTTAGCCATTAAGATCAACTCCTCCAATAAGTATTTGTTCTGCGACCCAATCATTGTAGGCTTCCTCTATCTCTTTACATCTATCTAACACTACCCAATTGCGCATCATGCAATCTTTGTATATCCACATACTGTGAGCAGTAGTTCTATCTATGAGACCTCGGTTCTTGTAGTCACCTTTAGTAACACAGTAGACACCTGTATGGAAATTTATACCTATGTTCATACCGAGGCCACATTTACTGACAACTACTTGAGGTACGAAGTCTTTTACTAGCTCATCCCACTTATTCACCATCTTCCTCTATCCCAAGTAGCATGTTCTCCATGAGTTGACCTACGTATACTTCTTCAAGTTGTTCACAGCCTCTCTTATTGACTGTTCTCCAATTGCGCTGTCTAATAGTTCTATGCATCCAGACAGGATTTTTACTTAATCTATCTAGTACACCGCGATCCCTGTAGCATTTCGCATCTGGCTCATCATGTCTGTAGTAATAAGACTTAAATAATCGCCTACCAAAATCTACTTCTACATAGTTGAATGCTCCAAGTATGGGTCCGTCGTAGTCTATCTGAAAGCCATCGAATATCACATCCCACTTCTTTCTGAACTCACTCTTCTTCTTAGCCATCACTGTCCTCTATACCGCGGAGCATATTTTCCATCATCTGGTCAGCATAGATTTCTTCTAGATCTAGGGCTGATTTACCTTCTAATGTCTGCCAGTACCTATTATGGGTTGATTTATACATCCATACAGAATTACGTGTCAACCTGTCGATCACACCTCTTCTGCTTAGTTTCAGTTCATCACTTTTCCTGCTTTTTCTGTAGCTCTTGAAGAGGCGTCTCTCCCAATCAACCTCTGTCAAACCTAGACCTGTAAATGCAGGAGTGAAGTCTACGAACAGAGCATCATATTTACTAACTCTTTTAGCCATACAGTCTCCATACTGCTTGTAATTTAGTTATTGACTTATCAAAGTCTAGTTTATCAAGAAGTACCAACAAATCTTTATTCACTCTGGGACAGAAACTTACATCTTTCTTGTCCCAGTCTGTGTTCGTGTCCCATAGCTCAGCAAGTCGCTTGCTCATCTTGGCATCATCGATGCCGTCAACCATCTTCTTGACCAAGGACTTGTGCACATCTACGTCTACTCCGATATTCAGGCAGATGTCCTCGATGTCTGAATAGCCCGCTAATAATGTTTGAGCACCTTTCTTACCTATTCCCTTTACTCCAGGAATACAGTCTACTTTGTCGCCTACAAGGGCTAGATAATCGCTTATTTGCTCTGGTCTTACGCCGAACTTCTTATTAACATCTTCGATGTTGTAATAGATGTCCTTCATGGAATCATATACGGTAACCCCACTTTGAACAAGCTGCAACAGATCTTTGTCACCTGTCACGACTACCAGCTCATACTCGTCTTTATACTTAGACACCGCTTCACCTATGAGATCGTCGGCTTCGTAACCCTCAGCCTCAACACTCTCCATACCAAGCAGCTCTATAATCTTTCTTATCACCAATTCCTGAGCGCTTACAGCACTGACCTGCACCCTGTTAGACTTATATTCAGGGTAGATGTCCTTGCGTACGCTCGCACCAGTCTGTGCATCGTAGCATATGAGGATGTTCTGAGGTCTGTACTTCTGGATGAAGGTCATGAGCATATTAAACGTACCATACACGGCTCCAGTTGGAAAGCCGTCCTCAGTGGAGAGATTGTTCTTCTCCATTGCATGGAACGCCCGGTGAATCATGTTGCTAATATCGAATATATATAACTTAGGTTTCATTTCCAAGCCTTCTTCAAAGCTCTAAGGGTCTTGATAAATTTATCTATATTCTCTTTTGAAGTAAGCATGACATCATTAACGTGGAATACTATCTGCAACCTATCATCAAACTGATCAGCAAAAACATCTGCAGTAATACCTTTATTAGACAGCATTTCAGTTTCAGGTTTATATCTTGGTTTCATATATGGTTTCATAATTCACCCGTGAAATCTGGATCAAAGTGCTTTATAAGTGCAAAAAGTTCATCATGATAGTCATCGCCATCACAGGTAGCATCCCAAATAAACTTTAGCTTCTCTTCTATTTCTTTGTTTGTCATTTTCGGTTTCTCCATTGGGCAGCTGCACCTTCCATAGATTCTTACTGTCTTACATACAAAACAAGGTAGTAATGCCACTACACTTCCTCACACATTAACATAAATTATGAACTGATCCGGTGAGACAACATGCTTAGTCTCGAACGGCTTTACATTGCTCCAGTAATATGTGTCAAACGTATCTGCATAACCAATATAGTTATAACCTGGTTTTATTTCAGACCATATTCTAGCATAAGAAGTATCTCTTACTTCAATCAAGCTGACAACTTCTTCATACTTGTCTTTACTTTCAAACGGGCCAATGGTATAATCTTGTAATCTCCATGCAATCATCTCCGTGAAAACTCCCAATCAGGTTCAAAAAATTTTGTCGGCTCCCAATCTAACTCTTTGTCGTTCTCAAGAACCTTTAAGAAAGCGAGGCATACGACGAGTGACATAGGAGCTGTATCCTCTTCATGTGCTATCAGCTTCTCATGGTCACCTGTTATCGACACGCTGCATCCTGTGGGGTTAGCATGTATGTCTACTTCATAGCGAGAGGTCAGCCAGTCTAGTACATGTCTGGTATCTCTCCATCTCATTGTGGGCATCCAGCCTTTAGGTGGCCTGTATCTGTGACCTACCTTCTTACTATCCCATCCAAACAATTTATTGCCGACTTCTTTATCTATATCAGGCCAATACATATTCTTCCAGCTCCTTTACTTTCTCTGCTACATAATCAGCATCGTTCAATAGTCTGTTCATACCACTCGGGTGAGGCATCTCTAGGTAGTCGATATCAAGCATGTTGAGAGCTCTACTTGCAGTCTTTCCAAGGGCAATCACCTTATCGTAGCCCTTGATCTTGCGGGTGACCCACGGAAGGCAGTTTCGGATCTCAGATGCGCGCAGAGGACGGTTATTTGGTGTTCTCTGATCACGAACGTTGGCGAAGGATATGTCGGCATGGACGTTGAGGAACCATTGATCTAGGATCTTTCTGGACCTCGTGTCGGGGTGGAATGCTGTGGTGTCTGGGCTAGCGTTGCCTGGGTTACTTCCCAGTAGTATTACCTTCTTCAATTTTAAAACTCCCATCTGGCCATATGATTACTCTGGTTACCTTCTTCTTGCGGGCGTAGTTTATGGTGTACCACGTTCCACCTCTATCCTGCTCCTCGAAGCTGTTGGATATCGCATACATCTTGTCTTTGCCGTCTACGATATCTCTGTTTCTAGCGAAGTGTGTCTTGACGGGATGTTCCACGTCAAATTCGTTAAATGCTCTCAGATCGGTTCCAGGTCCGGGGCGACCATGTATCTCTGTGTCCGGGGAGTGTTTGCGAAGCAGCTTATGGAAGTCATCATCAGCACCGACACAGTCGCCATGGTCGGCTGTAGTTGGTTTATCTTTTATAAGGAAGAGACTGAGGGTTTCTTTCTGCTCATCTGTGCCGCCATAGCGGGTACCAGTAAAACCTACTTTCATGCTTATCCCTTCACACACATGATCTGCTTGATCTGAGCTACAACCTCGACTAGATCTTTTTGGTTCTCCATAACTACATCGATGTCCTTGTATGCTCCAGGGATCTCATCTATAATCTTAGAATCCTTCCTGCACTCTACTCCGGCAGTCTGAGCCTCAAGATCTTCCACAGTGAAAGTCTTACGAGCTTTGCTACGCGACATGCGCCTACCAGCTCCATGGCTGCAAGAACAGAAGCTGTCTTCGTTGCCTCTTCCCTTCACGATATATGACTTGGTGCCCATACTTCCAGGGATGATGCCGTACTGACCACCATGTGCTGCGACAGCGCCCTTACGTGTCACATATACATCCTCGTTGAAGTGGCGCTCGTTAGAGACGTAGTTATGATGGCAGTTGACCTTCATCAACTCCTTGATAGGCTTCTTGTCGTTTACCGTCTTGCTTAGGATAGCCATGACCCTGTCCATCATCTCGATACGGTTTTGAAACGCGTAGTCCTGAGCCCACTTAAGGTCGAACCAGTAAGCATTGAACTCATCTTGATGCTCTAAGAAATATGCTAGATCTGCGTCAGGGATACCTTCATCCATCTGCTTGATCATACCTTTGGCTATGTTCATGTGACGTTCTGCTAATGTCTTGCCTACATTTCTGGGAGCCAGAATGAAGCATGACCCACACGTTGTCTTCGGTATCAAGACATATCTCGATGAAGTGATTACCCCCACCTAAACTACCCAACTGCTTGAGAGCTTTACGGAACATATCCTTGTCCCGACTCTTCTTACGCTCTTTCTTTGTATAGTCCAGAACATGTAGGTTCTCGAACTCTCTCCAACCCTTCCAGTCTTCGGCCTGTGCGAGTGATCTTAGCGTTAGAGTCAGGACCTAGAGGAATCTCTTCTCAATCCGCATCCTGATAAGCTCGATCTTCTCTTGGACTTTATCTTTAGATAGGGGAGTCTTGATAGCCATCATTCCGCATCCAATGTCTACACCTACAGCAGCAGGAATAACCATGTTCTTGGAAGCTAGAACAGTGCCTACAGTAGCTCCGTAGCCTGTATGAACATCAGGCATGGCTGCTACATGTTTGAACACATGAGGTAGCTTAGAGACGTTTGATAGCTGAGTGAGAGCAGACGATTCTGTGGTCTCGATATCAGTCCACAACTTTACGGGAACTTTCCCTTGATTCAATTCTCCTTTTACGGGCATCGATCTTTCCTTTCACGAAATCAAATGTTCTATTAAATATGACCATCAACGTGTAGGCAATACTCCACATGATCACACCTACTATACCTGCTAGCACAGTACCTACAAACCAGCTAGTCAGTGCTGCTTTTAAAAGTATCATTACCGGCTCACCTTATTCTTATCTTTGTTTGTATTTTTCTTATCACTACTATATCCACAATGGATCTCTTTACTTCGTTCAACACATTTCCTGATGTCGCTTTGATAAACAGGTGTCTGAACCGTTGATATACAATGCTTAGTGAACTTTTCAGCTTCAGCAGCCTGTGCCTTCGTGCATGTATGATACTTAATTATCGGTGTGTCAGAGAATAGACTTACAACTGTACCGCCTAGAACAATAGCTATGAGTACTGCGCCAACAATCATGAAAAACTGTACTTCACTACATTGCCTATCAAACATTTCCCAGAAATTCATACCTACCTCGGTTTTAAAAGTTCCCAACCAGATATCAACCTATTTCCAGCCATAATATCTGCACAAAGTTTTGCTGCACCGTGCGCCCACCCAAAACCGTATCCGGAGAAGCCCGCACATGTATATATCAAATCGGAATCAGTCGGCCCCACATGTGGTAGTCCTCCAGTCGATGAGCCCATGATGCCAGCCATGAGTATTCCCACATCTAATTCGTCTCCGAAAGTGAAGTTATCTCGTACGAACTGCTTTAACCCTTCTTCAGTATCTTTGTTGATGTTGAGGTTGGTACAGCCGATCTCACCGCCAGGAACATTGTTTCGCCAGCCGCCGATGAGCAGTCTGTTATCAGGTAGGAAGGTTCCGTAGATGTAGCCATGGTCGATGCTGAACGGTCCAGTCTTCATGCTGAGCCTGCTATCCTGCTTACTAACTATAACCTGCCCCTTGAAAGGTTCTATCGTCTTCTTGTTCTGGAAGAACCCTCCTATCTGCTGACTATAGCCGTTGGTGCATAGAACAACTGCGTCGTGCCAGGATACCTGTGGCTCACCATCGTATCGATAGGTGACTTTGACTCTTCCGTTGACTTCCTCTACGGAACCGACCTTATATGAGTTGTGCTCGACACCGCTTTGCTTAGCTACCTCAAGCACTCCGTTTCTTAACTTGACTGGGTTACCATATGCAGAGTATGGGCAGACATAAGCACCCTTGATCTCTTTGAGCATGAGGCCTTCAGGATTGCAGTCTGTCCAGAATATCTCATCCTGAGACTGCATCATCACGCTGTCATATAGCTCTTTTGCTTCGACATCATCAAGCGCTATCCTATAGTAGAGAGACCTGTTGAACGCATCAGTTATGTTGTGCTCCTTCACCGTCTTTTCTATCTCTCTTATGAAGGACTTAGACATGATCATAACCTTATTGGTGATATCTTCGCCATGGACGCTTGTCATAGCCTTGTACGACTCACCTGTACCTAAGAGTATATGTCCGGCATTGCGGAAGTAAGAGGCATTCTTAGTGCCACAGTCTACAATCGATACTTGATCGAACACACCTGTTCTCTGCAGATGGTATGCTACAGAGACTCCAGCAAGGCCAGAGCCAATAACAAGTATCCCACCATCTTTAGGTCTCTTAAGAGGTGCTGTAACTAGTTTAGTTGTGTCTTCCCAATACGTCTTCATGGTAGTGATATTACCTCCACATCGCCTTTACTGTTGATAGCTATAGTGTGCTCCATTTGAGCAGATAGCAACCCGTCCTTGGTCTTGACTGTCCAACCGTCATCGAGCATGATCCACTCTTTTGTACCCTCATTGATCATAGGCTCTATGGTGAAGACCATACCCTTCTGGAACTTAACGCCAGTAGGCCTATTGTAGTGGAATACAGCAGGATCTTCATGGAAGCTACGACCTATACCGTGGCCTACATAATCCTCTACGATACTGAAATTAGAGATAGAGAAGATTACAGCTTCTATGCCCTTACCTATCTCGCTAAGATTATCACCGACTCTAACACATTGTATTGCACCTATCAAGGCTGTCTCAGTTGTGCTGATTAACTTATTGGCTGTATCAGATACTTCCCCAACAGTGAACATCCTACTGCTATCGCCATACCAGCCGTTGAGTCTGGGACTGATGTCTACATTTAGGATGTCACCTTCTTTTAGTCTGTAATCGCTAGGGGATACCGTGGCAGATGACATCGTTCACGGATGTGCAGCAGGAGTGCTTAAATCCTCTGTAACCGAGGGTACCAGGAAAGGCGTTTGAGTTAAGTATCTCACCATGAACCATCTTATCTATTTCAAGAGTAGATACTCCAGGTTTTATCATTTGACCTACTAAATCTAACAGCTGATAGGTAAGCTCACCAGCTTTGCGCATCTCGTAGATCTCTTTATCAGTCTTTAGATGTATCATACTTCAGCTCTATCTCCACACCAGCTTCTTGAAGAAGCGTCTTCGTTATATCTTTGTAATAGTAGTCACCCCATATAACCACCTTCGCAAACTGATATGTAGCTAGCACATCTCTAGCACATCCAAGACAAGGCCAGAACGGAACATGTAATATGTAACCTCTACCTTTAGGGTTGAAGTCTGCGTTTGCTACTGCATTCTTCTCAGCGTGAACGACCCAGTTATCTTTCTCACGGTTATCTCTGCTCCATCTCCAAGCATACTCCACAACACCTTTAGGGAATCCATTGTAGCCTACGCTCACGACCTTATTATCCTTGGTCATGATAACTGCACCAACCTTAGTATTAGGGTCTTTAGAGCGTTCTGCTGTATTGATCATGAGGTCATATATCCACATGTCCCATGACTTAGGGCTTTTAAGTATTGTGTTATCTTTCATCAGCAAATCTCTTTCTTAGTCGATCCATTGCTTCAGCATTTAGCTGTGATATACGGCTCTCTGTTACCTCAAACTTCTTACCTATCTCCTTCATAGATGTACCTTTCTTATGGATGTGCTCCATGATCATCCTTTCTCTACGGCTCAGACGACTGTTAAGGAACTCACTTATTTCCTTTAGGAGATTATTCTTTATTGCTTCATCTTCTGGGGTTGCTGCTATCGGACATGGAAGATCAAAGTCAGAGTGTCCTT